ATTAGGACCCACATAGACTGCAGGAACAATGCTCTCTACTGGTCCCATTAACACCTCTTCCAGCAGCAGCCATAGCTTTCTGAGATCCAGGTACTGGCCAGGCCAGCTTCAGTGGGCTGCTTAATATAGTGATATACAGTATCTGCTACTTTATATCTCGCAATAAAGCAGAACCTAATAAAAGACTTAATTCGAATTATCATTATTCTTATTTTTTATTCATATTTTTATAAAGAGACATTTTTAGCTTACATTGTCAAATTTCTAATCAATATATGAGAATTTCAGAAAAACAAGAAACAAAATTGAATTAATTAAGCTGTTCAGATGTGTCTCAGTGAAATGTTAAAATGTAATCCATAGTTATTAGTATTTTACAACTCTCCCTTATTTTTCTTTTGAATCAAGTAGCCATTAGCAAATCTGAGTATCTGCAGCAGTGCTGTCAGGGCCAGGACATCAATGTCATCATTCAGGTTGATTTCCTCACTGTAGTTCTTCACAGGAAGAATGCAGTTTATAGGAATGCCCAATATCTGACTGAACTTCTCTATCTAAAATATAAAGACAGGGTAGATTAATGCAAAATAAATATGTCCAAGTCAAAGGAATTTCACTTTATTTTATACATTGTCAAGACTAATAGCCTGTCTAATGATAATGTGAATAAAACCACTCACATTAAAATCATGAAAATGTGAAAGAAATAACAAATATCTATATTTTCTTTTTTATCTATTTCCTGTCTCAGTGAATGACAGATATTCAGATTTTTTGATATACAGGGTGATTAGTAAGTTCCGTGAAGTTGCCCCACCCTACAAACAGCACAAATGCTAAAACCCATCTCATTCGTTAGTACTGCGTTTGTGCCGGTTTGTGTCGTTGAAAGTAGCGTTTGTGCTGTTTCTTTCCCAAGACATAGCGCCATGTTTTTCAGGGGATCACGTGACCATGCACGGTGACCTTGACCTCCAGTGACTGTCTGTCAAGTTCCAGCACTCTGTTACTGGTGCAAGAGTAACAATTCTGCAATGTTGTTTCTCTGTTTGCCCGGGTGGGGGGTGGTGGTGGAGTTTACATTTAATACCAGTATCTTCTGTGTGTTTGTGTGAACAGGAAAATTAAATTTGTCATCAATATCATACCCTAATCAGAGGAGTTGCAGGTGTATCCTTAAAAAATGAACATTAGCAAACAATTGCATGTTCTTATCAAGAGGCTTTAAATAGCACATTTTAATACTTCATGGTGTCCTTTTTAAAATCTGAAGAAGTGACCAGTTTTTTGCTGTCTCCTTCTTAATGAAACATGCGCACCAAGGGACGTGTAAAGATTCAACCCGTCTGTCGAGCCACGTATTTAAAAAGGCTTGAATTTGCAACTTTGTGAACGACAAGACCACTGTTGTACTTTTTATGCAAAGCACATGCGTCAACGTGAAAAAGAACCAGGATGTTTTTTTAAGGAGCACTGTGTATAACGTTGACACAGGTAGTTCATAACACATCCAAGAAGCAACATTGGAAAGTCTACCGTCTCACACAAGCAGACCGCGGCAATATTGGAAAAATATTTTTATTTTCATATAACAGAAATAAACATATATGTAAGTTCTTTAATACACTGTCAAGCTGGGAAGTAACTTTCATTGGCACAAACCGGCATAAATGCAGCACAATGAATGACATTGGTTCAGTTCCCCTAAGACGTTGTAGGGAGGCTGAGTGATGTCACACCCCCAAGAAGGCACTATATCACAGAAATGAAAGCAGCACAAATGCTACTTTCAATGGCACAAACAAAAACGCAACACTTAGGAATGAGTTGGGTTTCATCGTTTGTGCTGTTTGAAGGGGGGGTAACTTCACAGAGCTTGATTAGCTATAAACTCTTTGCTGTCTAGACTCTGATCTCCTTTCTGTTGTGAGAAAATACTCAATTTCTTCAAACCTACTGTGCCTCAATCAAAGTCTCAAAGGCCCGTTAGTCAACTCAGTCTGAATCTAAAAAGAAGCCTTCACTTCAGAGCTCTTACTATCTCCTTCCAGCTGGAGACTAGATGCAGACTGATTATGAAGCAAATCAGCAAAGTAATTTAAACTGATTACAATATTTTAATAAGGTACAAAAATTTTTATTTTTTTTTTAATATCTAGGTCAGGTTTTGCCTTCTCTCGACTCAAGTGTGACTTGAGAAGTTAATCATTTAATTTTAAAACCTACTGCAGCTAAATGTAAACTCACCTGTTGTTTGATGTATCTGCTCCTGTACACCTTCTTGAGATCTTTTTCTACCAATGGACAGCCTGCATCCACCTTAGTTACCAGCACAATTTGAGGAATATCTACATACAAAAAAACACATTAGCTTTTTTCACAAACCTTTCTTATGCAGAAGTTAAGATTTCAGAGGCAGGAAAATGGCAAAAGTGGAGGTATTATTGATTATTATTTCTGATTTTCATCAAGGCAATTTGATTGTATACACTGTGTTCTGGTACTTCACTTATTTAATTTTAGAATATTTCCTGGATCAGTCTATCAGGTGTAATGGATCATAACTTGGCTGTGTAAGGTAGGGCTACACTTGTCATGCAATACTTGGAATACGTGGTACAAATATTTATTTTATTGGGACATTTGATACTTTTACACAATTTTATTTTGTTTTTAAGAAGTAGTGAAAGTTTTGTCAGTACCATTTAGATTGTATTGTGTTGTGTTTACTTTCATTATTTCACACTGATGGAGAAAGTTATCCGTCATTTATATTACAGGTATCAAGAGCACTGACAACAGTTTCTTTCACAATTTTATTTGACAATGTTTTAGATGTTGTGAATCTGTGTTTTACCAAGCA